ATAAAAGAATTTGCCAACCTTAACCAGGAGGTCTTCCACTATGCCCCTAGGATGAACTACAGATCGGTCAGCTAATTGAATACTCATCCTAGTTGCACTGGGTTCACCTAGACCTAGTTTCTTGAACAATTTTTATGGTATAACATTGATACTAGCGCCTAAATCCGTCAAGGACCTCTCTACATGCAAATTACCAATAGAGCACGGGATAATAATACTACCTGGGTCCTTCCGCTTTTGCGGGAGCTTGTTCTGCAAGATGGTCGAACACTCCTCGCTGAGTTTCACAATGGCCAGCTCGCTTAGCTTCTGCTTTTTAGAGAGAAGATCCTTCAGGAACTTCGCATACTTAGGCATTTGAGATAGTGCCTCTAGGAAGGGCACATGAACATTCAATTTCCTAAGCATGGACATGAAGTTCCCGAACTCTGCCTCTAGCCGGTCTTTGTGTAACCGAGTAGGGAAGGGAAGTTGAGGGACATACTCCTTCACCACTGGTTGCGGCTTAGGAGCAGGCACCTCAACCTCCTTCTTCATTTCTTTTTCAACAGTTGGAAATGTCGAAGCAAGTCTCTCTCCTACTTGTCTGGCCAGGACAAGTGGGTCTGCAGTCACTTTGCCGCTCCTTATAGTGATAGCATTACAGTGGGCATTCGGGTCCTTCGGATTAGGAATGGTATGACCCGACAAGGTACCCGGAGCCCTCTGCTCCACTGCTTGAGCCACACTCCCCAGCTGGGTTTGGATATCCTGCAAAACAGCATGTGTGTTCCTCTGGCCAGCTTCAAGAGCCAGGAATTTACTCGAGGCATTTTTCATGAACTCCTCCATAGTGTTGAATTTATGAGCACTTGAACTGGCAAGAGAACCCACCAAGTCCCGCAGTTCAGCTATCGGATCATTCTGCACTAGGGCTGCAGGAGGCTGCACCTGGATGCTGGAAAGGTCGCGGTTGTAGTTGAGCAGCATGCCCCTTCATGGGCTGGTAGAGAGACTACTGTTGTTGCTGGAATTGCCCCTGACTGGGTTGATATGGCGGTCTCTGGAAGCCTGGAGGTCCCTGGGAGACTGGTGGCTTAGGATTATTTCCACTCCAAGAGAATTTGGGATGCTGGCGTCACCCCTCGTTATACGTGTTGCTGTAGGGGTCATTGTGCCTAGCATTGTTGATGAAGTTCACCTTCTCATGGGGTGTAGTCGACTCCCTCATCGCCTGAAAGTCTTCCACAGTATGATGGGTGCTCTCACACCACTGGCAATGCATCGTCTGCTGCTGTCCTGTTCCTGGGACCATCCCAGAACGATCAATGGTCGAGACCAGCTTTGATACCACCTGCACCAGCTCAGACGATTGGGTGGCCACAGCATGCACACCCGACCTGGTGCTCGTCCCGATCTCCTGGAAGTCCCCCAATCATATTCTTGTTTTGTCATCTCTTCAAAGAGTCGATTCAGCTGCGGCGGGGTCTTGGTTAACATATTCCCACCGCAGACAGAGTCAATCAGCTGCTTGTCTTCTGGGAAGAGAGCGTGGTAGAAAGTGCCCACCTTGAAGGCGTCATTGAACCCATGATTGTGACACTTCAGTAAAAGACTGGTGTATCTTTCCCAAGAATCCCGAATGGTTTCATCTTCCTCCTGGGCAAAGTGGGTGATCTGCTTCTGCAGGTCCGCCGTCTTCGATGGAGGATGATAGCGGGTGAGGAACTTGTCCTCCAGGTTGGCGAATGCGGTGATCGATCCTGGAGGCCGAGTGTCCAGCCACTCCTTCGATTGCCCCTCCAGAGTGAATGGGAAGTACCTCAGCTGGATGGCATCGGCTGGAACCCCATTTATCTTGATCCCATCGATGAGCTCGTGGAATCGTCGCAGATGCGATATGGGGCACTCCCCCTCTTTTCCACGGAATACCACCGAGTCGCGCAGCTTAGTGACGATAGAGGTGCTCACCTCAAAGTTATTGGCTGGAACTTGAGGGTGTTGGATGGGCGACCTCATGTCCACGGCTCTGGCAGTCCAGTAATATCCCATGGTGTGCTCATCTGGGACGACCACATCATTGTTTTGAGGTTCACCCATGTCTTCCTCCTGGTTGATCTGCAACTGTGCTAGAGCCTCCTCCGCAGCCAGTCGCGCGTTTAGAGCTCGCTTGAAGTTCCTACAGGTCCGTTCAAGATCTTGGTCTAATGGCAGTAAGTCTCCTGACTTGCTATGGGTCATGCACTACCGACACACGGACTGCAAACACAACCCGTGAAGGCACAAAGGTGGAAGAGAGAGAATGCAGTAAAGAAAAAGCTAGAGTAACAAACTTTCACGTTTCCACAATAACCTAGAAGTCCCCGGCAATGGCGCCAAAAACTTGACACGCTAAAACACAACACCAAACTGCGACCAAGTGTAATCGCAATCCGAAAATGCAGAATAGTGGCAAGTTCTATTTATCAACCCGTGGTCTAGATCTACTGCCTACTCCGTGATGATCCATTATCTAGCAGACTAAGTTGAGTGAATGTGATTTTAAGCTAAAGCAGTAAGAAAGCAGGAAATGGTTCGAAGTTCTTAAGCAGGGGAAGAGTCACTCGGGAATGAGTCCCCCTAACTCCTTAGTTAGGTCAAAGTTGTAATTATCTTTGGTTGATTTACTGTTGATTAAACTGCGAAAGATCCGACAGTAGCTTGGAATCTCTTAAGCTGACCAAGCCCTCTCAGACAGACTACCGGACAGACGACTAGTCTTCATCGGGATAGAACGCTGAGGTAGTTAACACAAAACTCCACTACTGGAATTGGATTCCAGCACAAAGCAGTGAATCGACTAACTCTCGTATAATCGATTCACTACTACCGATTGAAGAAGCTCTAACAACCTAATCAGATTCTATCTATCTCAGGTTGTAGCAGAAATCAATAAAAGATGATAAGGCTTCAATTGACTCAATCAAAACACTTCAATCGATTATAATCAAGCAGTGTCACAATCCAAACGTCATTACAATCGATATCCCTAACACATGGAACTAGGGTTCTTCATACCCAAGTTAGAGAGGGTTCTACTCCATAGAGAGAGGGAAACAGAATACAAAGCAGCCATACTCATCATGATGGGAAGAATCTACTCCGGGATGATAATATTCACTCCAAGGATGAAATCAAATCTTGATTGATGAAACCCAGCTCCAAAATCACCTCTAGAATGTGTTCTTCGCACTTTATCTCTCTATGACTCTGTTTCTAGCTCTGAAAATCGATCCCCCTTCAAAAGACCCAAAATTGGGTAAAAAACCCAGTTCTGCCTGATCACACGGCCGTGGGAAATTTAGGTCTGCCTGTGTGGCTCTCCAAAACGTTGCGTTCGATTTACGCTACACAGCCGTGTGGAATTTAGGTCTGCCCGTGTGAACTCTTTGTGAATTCCACACGGCGAAAAAGGGCCCTTTACACGGCCAGTATGGCTTGCCCGAGCAAAGGGGTTCCACATGGCCAAATCACACGGTCGTGTGGAATTTAGGTCTGTACGTGTGAAATTTCCAGCTTTTCGTCAAACGTCCCAACTTCGTCCAATCGACCCCTAACTCATGCCCAAACCTTCCTTCACGTACTAGGACCTGAAATATCACAAACAAGAACAACCTAGCATGAAATCGGCCTAAAACACGAGAGATGAGACTCAAACGGTATAGGAATGGTGGACAAAAACATGTGTATATATCAAGTCATCACTATCCTTTTATTTTTGTGTTCTTGAGAAAATCTCAGAAAAACCCTAAAATGTGAGAGCTTCGTATTCTGATTCGTGAGCAAGTTCGGATTCCCGGATTCTGCTTACATCATGGAGATTGATGACGATGTGCATTGAATTAATTTGCGTGATCGATTGGGGTAATAATTTGGGGGAAATCCAAATGGAGATTTTGGTAGTGGTGGAGCATAGGAGCGAGGCACTGGTGGGTGAGAAAGATGGATCCGTTGGCGACAGCGGCGAAGATTTTCATTGCGTCCACTTCATCGTTTGTTACTGCGGCGATAATGCAACGGAGGATAGAGTTCCACCAGACGAGGAAGCAGTATAGCAAACTGGGAATGTGTCGGGATTTCCCGGCCGAGATGCTAAATCCTGATTTGTCGAAGATGGCGGTTAGGTTGGCCGTTGGAGTACATTTAACAAGTAGCGGGTAAAATTTAACAACTAAGGAAACGTGTCGGGATCCCCCAGCCTGTCGCCGGCAACCAAAAATAGGTTGTCGACCTGTCCCGATCTCCCTAGCGACGGGTTTTCAACCTGTATGGTGCTTGACAAGTACCGAGTAAAATTTAACAACTAAGGGTATTAGACTAACATTTCTGCCATGCCATTAGGGATGACAAAAATATTCGTAACCATGGATATTCGCTCGAATTCGACCTAATCGGGTAGGGTAAAACCCGAATCCGAATGACTTTTAGTGGGTACGGGTAAAACCCGAACCCGAATATTGCGGGTAATGGGTGGGCATGATTTTCTCACTATCCAACCCGAACCCGCCCGATTATACACATGCATATGTATTTTGTCTAGAAATAATCAATATTTTCTCTAATTATTTTATATTTAGCATATAAATATAATATTTTTATGAAATTGTGTTGCTTTAATTAATTTTCTTCATTCTAGTGAGTTATTGTCGTTCCTTTCGTCTTGCGTAACTTGAGAATACGTGTGAATATTAATATATTGGTTGGAGTTATAAAGAGAAACTATTACCCATGGATAACCGTGGATACCCGAAACCCGAACGGGTATGGGCAAGGTTTGAATTTTCTACCCGTTTCTTATACGAGTATGGGTATGAGTAAAACCCGAACTACTTTGGGTAGGATAATGGATATGCACTATCCATCTCCGACCCGATCCATTGCCATCCCTAATTCATCGTTCACTTAATATAGTTTTCGTGACGACTAACATTTCTAAGAGTACCAGTCTGAAATTGTTATTATGACACAAATAATCGTCAATAGGCGATGACATACTTTTGATCTTATAAATAAAATTTTTATCAAGAGGTTTGGTATTGCTCTGCTTTTAGTAAATTTGACTATACTATCTTATATCTTTATAAGATAAATAAGAAAACTTTTAATAGAACATTATAAAATTAATTCAACCACTTTTTTTTTTGTTTGTTCAACCACTTCATTTTGCTCGTTTGTTGCTCAAAGGGAAAATAAAATACAGAGCTATTATTATTATTTATATAAAAAAAAAAAAACAGAGCTCAGAGCATTGCTGCAGCAGAGGGGAGGCAATCAAACTTTGAACACAACAACATTAAGAAACTGTCTTGCCTTTCACGTTCCAGTTGTGCTTGTCCTGGGTATTATCTTCTTCCTTTGACTGCTAACAAAATCAATATTTCACAAACAACAATCCAACGGCGGAAGCAAGCAGACCATACTTCCCTCCCTAACTAGCATTCTTGTGAGAGTACAAGGCGAAATGCTGACGAAACAAGAAACTAGGATTTGTGCAATCCTGAGAGGTAAGATCGGGCCAATGAACAGTTCGCTTCCTTCTTCGATCTGTATTCATTGTAACGCAGGAAGAAGTAGCCTAGGTAATCGAAATCGATGGGAGACATCTTCGCCTGCAGATAAAGATAGAAACGAACGAGAATGGTTGGTACTTGGTAGTATGCATAGAGTTATTGAATTCCAGTAGGTCGTTTCCATCAGAAGCTCTCACCTGTATTAGCGCCCACAGGGCCCAGAATAAATGTGAAGCCAGCATGAAGGTGTTTGACTCTATGTAAAGCACTTCGAGCTCCTTTGACGATACCTGTTGGTTCAAGAAGTATAAGATTGTTGCGTCGAGAGAATTAGAATGATTTGACGTCCATATTTCCCAAAAATTACCTCATCTGGCTTATCAGGTTGTAAGTAATGCCTGAAGAAAAGATCCTGTTCTTCTTTACTAGGGTACCTACATATTCACCATTATTTAAATGGATCAGAAAGGATTGGTCATTTGTAGAATCACTGCTGGTATCAGGGAAAGGAGGCAAGGAGATGGAAGCGTACAATGAGTAGTCGCAATCATATCCTGCATACTCATTGAAGTGATTCCCGATGTCGAAGCCTCTGTAACTGTATGATCCGTACTCAAAATCTATCAAGTAGAGCTTCTCTGGGAGTTCATAAAAACAGAACATAAAGATCAACAGTAAACGCAGAATCCTGAGTTGGAAATGACTGTCTAACCAAATGTTATCTGATGTAACTAATCACAGAAAGGCAAACCAGCTCTTCACGAATGCATACCTTCATCATCATTAACCATCAGGTTCCCAGAAAGCAAGTCATTGTGAGCGAAAACCACTGGAGAATTTAAACGGCTTGTCAATTCCTGTTTGATTGTGGAAGAAGAAATGTCAAGTTTAAGAAGTTACCACAGTATTTAGATTGGTATTTCAAGGAAAGCACAAATATTGGACCCTTTTGTTTTCAGCAGACTGAGAATTATGATCAGTTCACAAATCAGGGATAAAAACAGCACCTGCAGACTCATGGCTGACTCCAACCATTCGATTTTCATGTGGTAGTATCAAAAATAAAATCAAGTACTTCAGAATGACCTCACAGACTTTTCAAGGTTACTATACATGTTAGAACTCACCATGAAACACCGTTTCCTATACAATAATTCGCATGCACTACCATGCACAATTTATGAACTCTTTTCCTTTCCTTCTCGAAAGTTCTCAAACTATAAACCCTTTCCCCCTCCAGCAGTGGTCTGCGACTGCATGCTTACTAGCTTGGTGGTTAATGTCAATTAGTTACCAAGTGAAGCCCTTGAACACAAGTAAACTAAACTCGAACACTAGAAAGACAATACTACAGCCTTAAGTTGAAATTAAACAATCAACATTGTAACTGAGACATCAGATTATGGAAGACTAAAAGGCAGCCCTATAACATCCAGCTGGAAGAGCAGGCCACTTTGCAGCCCCAAGCCATAGTCACACAGCAACAATAATTACCTTGATTTCAATGATTTCACCATAAACTTCTTTAAAAGAGATCGTGTTATATGTTCTTTGTTTCTCGGCATCATCAAATTGCAGACCCGAGGCTGGAACAGAAAATGGTAATTAAATAAGAAAAGTATAAGCACAAAACAAACTGCTGAAGATGAAAAAGGTTGTAGCCTTTTCTTCCGATAAGCAATTTAACATAGACTTGAATAGTACCACTTTCATAGAACTTGAATATCTCATTCCATAACTGAGGTTCCTTAGAGCCTGGAATTTCCACAGCATGGAACCTACGGAGTTCCTTTGCAATTTCAGCAGCTAACTTTGGCACCCTCATGTCTGCATTTAAATAGAATCAAAATCAAAACAAATGAAGACAAAAGCTTTACACAACAGGTCATAGATCAAAAAGCACATCTGGGACCTTCAACTTGGCCAAAGCTCTCCAGACAATTAACTGTTGGGTGAGTTGATAACTGTGAAGTTGATAAAGAACATACAAGATCAATTACTTGGCAGAAAAATCAAATCTCGTTCTGATGCCAACATACTAAGTAGGCGAGGTTAATTTCATTCATATGAGATCACCAATGGTAAGATAGGAAAACCACTGAAGGTTTCATCATTTAAAGTACGTGATTCAATCTTCCTGACCTGCTGGAGTTAGCGTACGTGCGTTGATGAAGGACTGCACCATCCCATTCCCAAATACTCCTAGCAATTTGGCACCAAATCCCGCAGCTGATAGGTATTTAATAGCCTGAACATAGTTGTGGTAAGCTACCATGTAATAATACAGGCAGTAGAAGAACCCAACGCAGTCTAAATGAAAAAAAATTCCACAAATCACATAGTTACAGACCCATGTCCAGTAAAGGCTGAGAGCCACTAGACTACCCCTTCAATTATCCAATCTCTGGAAACAAAGTTTTGTTCTTAGCAAAACCATTCAACTAAATGATGTCCACATAACATTTCATCAATTTACGTGTAACTCGTCTCAGCAGCAAACTCAGAACGAGTTTAGGCAAGCAAAAGATGTACCAACCTGCAACTCGCGCTCACGGTTAATGACATAATCCGTGTTCGGGCCATACAATCTGACTGTTACAGCACTCTCTTCTCCATTCACTTCCTTTACAGACACCTTCAGCACTGCAGAATTAACAATAATCTCACTGTTAGGCAGCGAACCATCAAGACCAAGCCATCTGAAAAGATCACCAAATGAAGCAATCATAGTAGTCCAACTAAACCGCCTAACAACAATCTCACAATATTCACGAAACCAAGAAGAAGATGGAGGAGGAGGTAGACTCACACAGATTGGTTATACCGCCGGAAACTCTCTCAACTGTGAAGCAAGATTCATCCAATTCTGACCATTTCTTAAACAAATCCTTACATAATCCGCTGCCAAACCCAACAACAAAGTAAAAATCAGAAAAAAAGATACCACGAGCTCCACAGCCAGGAGAAATACTAGCAATGGTGTTTTTTCACGCAAAATTTAGCAAGCTGGTCAATGCCCCAGCAGCAGCTATAAATTAAACATTTTCTAGGCAAACAAACAGGAACGCGCTCGGAGACGGTGAATTCAATCTAAAGCTAGAAGAAAATTTTTCCGAACGGCGGGCCGGAGAAGGGGAACATACATGACGCGCGGAGAGGCATCGGCGACGGTGAGTTGGGGGTCGACAGTGCACGAAGAAGACGGAATCTCGTCGGAGCCGCTGCAGCCATTGGCTCTAGCTTCGTGGTCGGCGAGTTCCATGGCGGTGCAGATCTTTTCTGGAGCTCCCATTTCGTCTTTTTTTACAGCGGTCAGCCTTTGCTGGTGGTGGGAACTATCCGATTTTGCAGGGGGGGCGGGCAGGATTGATTCGTTCCAGTTTAACCGGGCGGGCAGCACGAGAAAATATGAAAGAGGGAAATGAGTTTCGTTTTGAGAAACGCGGAAGTCGTGATTGGGCTGAGTCGGTATTGTTTATAAATAAATATCCACTATAAAAAATTTACTCTGATATTTTGGTTCATAGATAATTACGAATGGATCATTTATACAGTTGAATACAATACAATTACGGTGCTCACATTTTATTTGTAACAAGTTGTTTACAATGTTGAGTGTCGTCAAATCATACATTGTGTATTTCATAATCGAAAGATAAATACGGTGAAATTTCATTTACGAAATTGACACCACATTCATTTGCAAATTGTGTCTTCCGATATGAACGCAACTTTAGTTTGTTACGGTGTGAATAGACAAAGGTTGGTTCGAAGGTGTCGTTGTTGGCGGAGAATAAAGAAAAGAGGAGGAGGAAGTTATGTGACCGACGCAATCGAGGAAAGAGTAGTTTTTGATAATTATAATACGCACATTCCTTTCGTTAGTCTACGTTCTACGATTCACGCAATTTCTATCTTGCACGAAATCAACTGCCTTCCCATTTGTTAGCAATAATTTAGAGCAATGGGCCTAGATGCTCCGGTTTCTGATTGGGCCATGGTCTGCTCCAAGCCCAATTATGTTCCATACACCGAGCAGCTAAGCCCGACTCGTTTCCACCCCCAGAAACCCGGTAGCAACAGAATCCCTTTCCTTCTCTCCGCCGGCGATATCGCGCTCGGAGACTCGCCCGTCGGCAAGAAAGATGTTGAGATTATCATCGAAGAGTCTCGCTGCGAATCTCTCCGCTCTCCGTCGTCTCCAGTCTTATACTCCTCATGTAAGCAAAATTCCCCCCACTCACTCTCTCGTTATCTCGTTTCTTGCCTAACATTTCACTTTCGTTTCTGCAGAGGGAGCTCCACAGCAGGAACAAGAAGGCGATGGAGTTCATAGCCAAAGGCTGGAACGCGTTGAAGGAAGTGGACAGAGTCATCGATTACTGCGAGCTGAATGACCATCGCCTCATCCCTCACCTCAGAGTAAGGCTCTTCGTCTGTAGCCATGAACTGGTTTTTTTTTCTGTGTAGGGATTGGTAGTTCTAGGTTAGGTTTTGATGGTTTAGAAATGCTGTTTGTTGATTGTCAGACTGCTAAGGAGAACTTCGAGCTGGCGTTGGAGGCTGATAATTCCAATACGCATGCTAGATATTGGCTGTCTAAGTTGCATATGAAGTATCATGTTCCTGGTGCTTGTAAAGCTATGTGAGTCAGTCCCTTTCTCTTTCACCTTATTCTTACTGAAATTAGGAGTTCATGGGTGCAGTAATATAGTTTGTAGTTAGCAACTCCGGTGCAATTCATGCTATTGTAATCACTTTTCTTGTTTGATAGCGATTCGATCATTTCAACTTAGTTCTTTGCTACCGTTGGTCTTTCAAAGTGACCATCCTATGTTTGAATAACCATGTTAGTAGTTGGCTGTGGCGTTTTCAACTTTTGGTGACTGTTTCCTGCTTGTGATTGTCTTGTTTCTATGGCATAGAGGAGCTGCTTTGTTAGTGGAAGCTGCAGAGATGGGTGATCCAGATGCTCAATATGACTTGGGTTGTCACCTGCGAGTGGAGGTTAGACCTCTTTTACCGATTCTGCAAGTTATTTTAGTTAGGTATCATTTGCTGAAAGAAGAGTAAACACTATACTGGAAATGCATTGCTACTTGAATGTTGTATTTATACTAAACAGCAAGCAAACAGTAACACCAGTGGCACTTCTTTCAAAACTCAACAACAGGTTATGATATCTTTGCAGAACTCGATCGTACAACTAGATAAACAGTTGGTGTAATCATTTAAGTAGAAGCTGTTGTAGTAAGGCCCTGGACTTAAGTTTTTTTTCTGTCATGGTTCATGGTGGCTGTGGATCCTACTACTCAATATGCTTATTCTCATTCTTATATTGGCTTTCTTTGCCCCGTTATTGATAGAATGACTGGGTTCAATCGGATCAACAAGCTTTCTTTTATTTGGAGAAGGCCGTGGACCAGGTATTTTTATTCTGTGATTAGAATTAGATACTGAACAACAATGCTTCCCTTGTTGCTAATCCTTTCCTCTTCTTTTTATCTGGGATAGTTACATCCAGGCGCTTTATACCTCCTAGGTGCTGTGTATTTGACTGGAGATTGTGTGAAGAAAGATGTTGCCTCAGCTATTTGGTGTTTTCATCGAGCATCAGAGAAGGTGAGATTTTTTTTTCTTAGTAAAGTGGTTGCGGCCATTAATTGTGAGTGCTGCAGAAAGTAGGCTGCCTAGTTGCAATGTGGTTTATCAGAGCTGTAGAAAATAGACTGGATGTCCAGAGCTGATTGAAAGATCTTAACAAGTCTGCCAACTGCCAAATCCCTCAATGAATGTTTCTTTTAAGCTACTCTTGTGATTAAAGGTGTCAACTGACAACTTCATTACACTTGGAAGAAATGAGAATCTCAATGAAGTTTCTCCAGTGTAAACCAGCCAACCAGCATCCCTTTCTTTTCTCAGCTCCCTCTAATTTGAACTGCACTTGCACTGACCTTCCCTTCCAGAGATTCCTCTTCCAATATGAACATTTAACATGGGAAATTTGGTATGCTTGCCAAATTTTTTCTATTGTACGTTAAGCTGCTATTGACTAGAATTGTATATTGCTCAAAGTTCTTAGAAGATCTTTCAACAACCCAAATGAATCACAACTTCTCCCAATCATGATTTATTGGCAGGGACATGCTGGTGCAGCAATAGCATATGGATCTCTACTTCTTAGAGGTCAGTGGATTCCTTACTGCTCTACATTTGGATTCCTTACTGCTCTACATTGCTTTCGGATCTTATTAGAGAGCATTTTAAGTGTCTTAGAACATTGTTACAAAACCTATTGATAACCTATCTAATTTATGTCCCCCCAGGCGAACAAGTACCAGAAGCTATCACAAGACTACAAGTGAAACGAGGAACCCCGGGCAGGAGAGCGAAGACCAAGGAAAGCTCCTCAACGGACCCAGTAGAGCTGGCGAAACAACAGTTCGAAGCAGCAGCAAATGCAGGTTGTGATCTCGGGCTGAAATGGCTGCAGCGACTGGAGGAAGCGGAGGAACGCCTACTTGCCGAAACTACCTCCCCCGAAGCAGTTGCCACCGCGTGAGGAAGAACCACCACCATGTCCAATATCAAAGCAAGATGTTTTTGTAAGAGCCTGTAATAGGAAAAATATGCAAGCCTCCCCATGAATGTGATTCATCCTGAAAATCAGAGAGACAAAGGAGACTAGGAGAGCGGGGGGTGGTTTGAGCCTACTTTCACTATTATGGCTCTCCACTTCACTGCTTTAATGCACAGAGTTATGGTCTTGATGTAAAAGTTTTGGGTGTGTAAAAAGCTAGTTCTATGTTTGGCTGGGTACAATGTCCAATGTTGGTACCAAAATAAGAAAAAAGGGGTTTGATGGGAAACTACCCTGGCAGAGGCAGACTGGCTGCTTTTGATACTGAAGCCATCCTGACATGTTTCTTTCACAGGACGAGACATATGGGATGGGCAGAAGGACGTAGGCATGAGTTGAGCACAACCCTATTTGCCTATTGAAGAGAGGATGTCATGTCTATGCTCCTTTGGTGGCTTCTCCCAAGTCCTACCTTCTCTTTTTTTTTTTTTTTTTTTTTTTGTATTTATGTCAATGGCCAAGGCTCTACTATTTTTGACGAGGATGATATGGCCAAGGCTCTACTATTATTCATTAGCATTTAGAATTAGCACAAATGAGTCAAATTGATTAATGAAATATATTATTGACAATACTATTCAAATATATAAACCACAAGGTGTGTAACATGGTGGCTGGTTGTCAAGTCTTTTGATAAAGGAATTAGGAGTCAATTTATATTCAAGTCTTTTGATGATGAAATTATATGAGTCCATTTGTATTCATGGAATACGATCATTCATTGTCAGGTTGTATTTCTAATAATTTTTCCCGTTTTCTCAACATATTTCAAACAAATTGATCGAGAATCAATTAGAAAACCGGTGTTAGCTCGATTAACTCAGTTCTTGGTTCTTGCCCATGATGTGAAAAAATATGTACTCTTTCTCGTTGGGGTACCAATATGCATACCAATTTGTTGTATTATATCTCTGTATATGGCACTTGAGATGGACATTGCTTATGATTTGGTAACGCATTAGCAGTTTGCTCCTTCAAATTTTTTGTGCATAAGCCCAACTATTTCGGAGTGTACCACCTAACCCCTATTGGTTTCTTTGTTATTAATGTTACCAACATGAAACGTGTAACTTTGTTGTAGTATTATCACGTGAGATCAAAACTGCTCGTAATTTGTTAACACAACAGCAGTTTGTTCCTTCACATTTTTGTTATGCGTAATATCAACTATTTTCCGTGTCTCCCAAATATGAAATTTTCTAAAACATAATCCTATAGGTTTTGAAAAATGTTTGCCTCGTTTTTTGACTTGGCATTGGAAAAGAAAGAAAGAGAAGAGGTGATTTACAAAGCAAAATGTTGTCGCCATAGAAAATCCACCCCCACCGGCTACAAAGCCACTCGCCGCCGTTTGCAGCCACGACGGTCCGGATCCCCGGACTGCCGAACCCTAATAAGCGGGCCCACGAACCAAACCCCCAACCAAATCCAGACACGTATCCCACTGGGTTCCATCGAATCCCCAGATATTTTCTCGCAGAGCACTAATCGCCTGCCCACATTCCCCATCCGCGTCGCTCACCAAACCGTCAGACAAGACGCCGAGGGGTAGACTCGATATTTCACATTATATTTTTTTACCATCGCAGTAAATAAATCCAACTCAATTTTACCTCCGGGTTTCCCTTTTTCTCTGTGCTTTGCCATTTTCGGATATCCTTCCAATTTCCTCCCATTTCTTTTTCAATTTTTTATTATTCTTTTGCAGTAAATTCCAGCTCACTCCCTCCCGTACTCTACAAAACGCACCCAATAGAAGAACAAATGGGCGCCTTTCCGTCTCCTCCCCTCTCACGCCATTTTCCCAATCCGCCATTGTTGCGAGAACAACCTTCTTCACTCACTCCCTCTCCGTGAAAAGCGCCATTCTTCAAACACGGACCAGATTTTTCTCTACTCTCTTCTTCTTCCTTGATTTTTTCTTCCGCTTGTTGACCATGAGCTGGGACGTCACCGGCGGCAGGGGAGGCGGCGGAGGAGGGGGCCGAGGTCGTCTGCCTAGTGGCAACTACGTCCTTCCGCACCTCCGAAACGGTCCGGTTGCGAATCCCTACAATGCTACCTACGGCTATTCGCCTTATTCAGCAGTTTACAATGCTCCTTCTCCTGTGTACGGTCAGTACGGCGGCGGCGGTGGGTATGTACTCGGCCAGCAGGATTTCTCCCCTCGCGGCCGTGGCCGCCGCGGTAGAGGAAGAGGCGGTGGAGGACGCGGTCAGCGGCTGGGAGAGTACGGATCATCCTCTTCGTCGTCGTTTGCTGATGCGATTGCGGAGAAATTCGACGAGCTGGAGGTGCTCGACGAGGAGGAAGCCGACGGGGGAGGAGGGGGAATCAACTTCGAAGCTTACAACGACATCCCGGTGAAGGCGACGGGGTCCGAGGTGCCTCCGCCGGTGGAGAGGTTCGACGAGATCGATTTGGGGGAAGGCCTGATGCAGAACATCCAGAGGTGCAAGTACGTGAAGCCGACTCCGATCCAGAAGCACGCCATCCCCATTGCGGTCGCCGGGCGGGACCTGATGGCCTGCGCTCAAACTGGGTCTGGCAAAACCGCCGCGTTCTGCTTCCCGATCATTTCGACGATTTTGAAGAACGGGTTGAATTCGGGTCAGTCGGGTCGGGGTGGGACCCGGATGATGGCCCAGCCATCTGCTCTTATATTGTCCCCTACCAGGGAATTGTCCTGTCAGGTGGGGAATCGGCCGATGGCTCAAGTATTTTTTTTTAACCATTCTCCTTGCTCTACAAGCTTCTCCCATTGTTTAATATAATCTTGTCGGCCACTGTTTTGAAGATTCACGAGGAGGCCAAGAAGTTTGCCTTCAAGACTGGAGTGAAGATCGTTGTTGCTTATGGAGGCGCACCGATTCAACAGCAGGTTTCTCTACACCAATCACTTCTTTTTTTTTCCCTGCTTTCCCCTTTGGTTAGATTGTTTGTTTGTTTGTGTATTCTGTCATTTCCTGTAGAAACTTGAGCATTTGGATCCATAAACCAAAGAATCGTGCACATTGCTCTATTCACCATTGTTTATTGTAGTTAGGTAGCTCACGCACATGGGCATTTGCAGCATTTGACTGTTGGTTCATAACAGTGTGGTGAAATGGGTTCAAGGTTGTGTTCGTGTGAGATGTTGTTCTTTTCACTGTGGGTGCAGCTTTACAATTTGGAGAAGGGTGTTGACATCTTGGTGGCAACACCAGGACGTTTAGCTGACATGATTGATAGAGGCAGACTGTCTCTTAAGATGATCAAACACCTGGCTTTAGATGAAGCCGATAGAATGCTTGATATGGGATTTGAGCCTCAGATCAGGAAGATAGTTCAGCAGATGGGGATGCCTCCACCTGGTCAAAGGCAGACTATGCTCTTCAGTGCAACATTCCCTGATGAGATACAGGTTTGTTGTTTTCCTTGCAGCCCACATTGGATTCTGTTGTTATGGCTCCTCCCACTTGATCGTTTTTCTTGTTTGTATATGAAACTGTGACCTAGACAAGAGAGAGTCGGTCCAAATTTGGTCTGCATATTTACTATTCAAAATCACAGAAGTCTTAGTGGTCTTAGGTTTGTTTTGTCATTTTATTGACCGAGTGGTCTCCTGTCTTTTCTAATGGCAGCTTATTTTGAGCCTGCATGCGTTTAGCAGTAACAGTCTATCTTGTCTTGCAGAGACTTGCATCCGATTTTCTCAACGATTACATCTTTCTATCCGTTGGGAGAGTTGGTTCCAGTACTGGGTTGATCTCTCAAAAGGTCGAGCTTGTTCAGGATATGGATAAGAGGTCACTCGTCATGAAACTCCTCCATGGCCAGAAGACAAACGGCAAGGTGAATAATGCCTTTAACCCACTTCTCCATCTCACCCCTTCACATCCACGAAGTCTAATATTCACTTCCATTCTCGTGGCAGCGCGATTTGACACTGGTGTTTACTGAGACAAAGAAAGGAGCAGATGCCTTGGAGTACTACCTGTGCAAGAGTGGCCTTCCAGCCATAGCCATTCATGGCGACAAAGTCCAAATGGTCTGCTTTATCCTCTGACGTTTCACCCTTTCTCACTCTCATTTTGAGTACCTTATTGATTCATTTACTCTCTCATTTGTGAAGGAGAGGGAAAGGGCTTTGAGATCATTCAAAGCCGGCGTTACTCCAATCCTGGTCGCAACCGACGTGGCATCAAGAGGCCTGGACATCCCCAACGTCTCCCACGTCATCAACTTCGACATGCCAAAGGACATAGACGACTACGTGCACCGAATCGGCCGAACAGGGCGAGCCGGGAAGTCGGGATTGGCAACAGCATTCTTCAGCGAGCAGAACATGTCACTGGCGAAGCCATTGGTTGAGCTCATGAAGGAGTCGAACCAAGAGGTCCCTCCTTGGCTGAGCGAATACGCCAAGAACTCCTCGAACACCTACACAGGCGGCGGCCGATACAGACGATATGGCGGTGGTGGTGGGAGCAGACATGGTGGATATGACTTCCGCAATGACTATTCCGGCGGTGGATATGGCGGGGGAAGCTATGGTGGTTACGAGTCAGGTTCTTACTATGGAGAGAACGGTTATGGAGGTTACATCGCTCCGCCTGCTGGTTCTGGTGCCGGCGGTGGTGGTGGTGGATACGAGCTTGGGACTGAAGCTGTGGTGGCGAGTGGCTGGGATATGTAGAAGATGGTAAGAGTGGGGGTTTTACCGTTTTACTATCATTAGTTACTATCTATAATTAGGCGAGAACGAAACGATGAAAAGAGGCTCCTTTGAGAAGCTACACTTAACTTTTGTTATGAGGGATTTCGATGTGTTTTGAAAAGGCTTCTGGAGCTTTGTAGGGCAATTAAACAGGTGAAATTATTGGTGGGGGATTAGTGCCCTGTTTAGGGGTTGGTACACAAGCTTTTTGGTTGCTGATTTTGTTAAATCTAGTTCTTGTTCCCTCACATTTTCTGGGTTTGTAGTTTGTTTTTGGGTTGGTTGGTTGTGTTTGTGACTGATGTTCCTGATGGTTAGGGTTATGATGACTAGTGTTAAAGGTTCTTTAAGAGTTAAACCAGGTTTAGTTAATGAAATTGAACACCATAGTTTGGGGCATTTTAGATTGCTTGACATTCTATTCCCACATGTGAATTTCAACTTATAGATATTGATTGTGTCAATTTGTTCGAAAAGATTCTTCGTTGAGATATTATGGGGTTATGATAAATTGATAATGCATCATTCAAGGGCAAGTTGTGGATATAACAAATGGCAGATGCAATGATTTAGACTATTTTCAACTATACAAAAATTCAAGATCTGGGCGTAATGCCAGCATTTGAATCTTGCTTAGTATTTACCTTGTCGAAGCATCTCGCCTAAACGTGCCTAGGTGATGAAGCCAAAACTAATAGTTTGTACTACATGATGAATGTAATGACAATTTATACCACTTGCGCACTTCGGTTCAATGATTGTAACTAACTTAATCCTTAATAACAAAGAAAGATAATTCACAAGTTCATGGTATCGTAGCTCAATAGCTCACAAAGTTTTTTGAGTTAGTTGATAGATTGAAAGACAAGATTAAACTTGTAGATGATGTTAATTTTCCTCTTTGTCGTTGCCTAGCATCTAGACACACCTTTTTTAACAATGAAAAAATTCTAATATCTAGCAAGGATGAGGAAAATATACTCCTATTGTCAATGGTCAAGAACCGCTTATCTCGTGATCCTTAAGTCTCTCTATTTTGACCGAGATTATAACCAAATTCATACAATTTTAAAATATTAAATTGGAGTATGTTTCTCTCCTCATAGTTATAACACTAAGGGTGGATTTTCTGGTTGATTGGATTCACAATGTTAATATCATATCCACATATTATTAATAGGATTTGTTTTGTACTCAATTCTAGTGGTAATGGTTATTATTATGTGAAACAAAAAGGATAAGAAAAAAATGTAAGTGTTTATTGAGCAGGGAAAAAAACGAAAATGACAATTAATTCTATTCAAAAGAAGGAAGAAAATTAATTAAAATTTAAAATGAAGGTAGGAAATTAATTACAATTTAAAACACAAGCGACGAAGTAAGGCTTTCGCAGTGTTATATATAAACCAAGTATCGCCTTGCCGCCGCCGTCCCGTCGATCCTTTGTCTCTGCTCCTACGCAAAGTTTTCCTCCGTCGACGTTCTCCGATCAAGAGATTAGGGATAGTCCCTCTAAATCGATTGGAAGATCCAATGGAAGAGATAACTGAGGGCGTGAACAGCATCAACCTGGCCGGAGCCGATGCGACCAAGAAGAACCGGATTCAGGTCTCCAACACCAAGAAGCCCCTCTTCTTCTACGTCAATCTCGCTAAGGTAGCTCTCCGATTCTCAAAACATCAGCGCGTTCATTCAAGAAATTTGGCCAGTTAGGGATTCATATTTGCCTGATTCGATATCTCTGAATCTCTGTTCGTTTTCCCCGTCGAATTTATCGTCTAATTGATCAGCTTTTGGGGGTTTCATTGCAGAGGTACATGCAGCAATTCAACGAGGTGGAGCTGTCCGCACTTGGAATGGGTAATATTACTGCTCTCCTGATTGTTAATCCGGGAAATCAGTATCTCTGGAGAACCATTAGTTCTCTGTTAGTAATAGCTAAGGTTGCTCTTCAATATTCGTTGCTGCTCATTCAATGAGGTGGATGGAGCTATCCGCACTTGGGAATTGGTTGGAGAATTGCTTCCCTGATTATTAATTCGTCGAAATCGTGAATTCTATGTGTATAATAGCTAAGAATGGCACCCAGTATTCCCTTCCTTCCCATTGGCTTTGTGTTATTTTGGTTCAAGGTGGACTGGGTTTCTTCTTGACCTCTGCAAATGAATGAATGAACACAGTTTATCGAAAAATTGCTACCTTTGATCGCATTGATCATTGCTGTTATACATGCTAAAAGCCTAAAACTCTAGTTGGTTGCGCCAGTACACCATACCTCTGACTTTGTGGTGCTTGTTTATTCTTTCGTGCCTGCAGCTATCGCCACAGTTGTAACGGTGGCCGAAATTCTCAAGAACAATGGATTGGCTGTGGAGAAGAGTAAGTTTGTCTTCCCCCTTCCCTCCCAACCCTAATGAATTATGCTTGTTCACAGTTATTATTAATGCTCAAGCAACTGATTCATGTCCACTTTTAGAAATCATGACCTCGACTGTTGATATGAGGGACGATTCGAGGGGGCGGCCTGTCCAAAAAGCCAAGGTAAAAGCAATTGAGTTGTGCATTCGGTCGTCATAAGTTATTACCATCTCTTGTATCTTTATAGATATCATTTCTTTTTGCAGATTGAGATACTCCTTGGAAAGACTGCAAACTTTGATGAACTGATGGCCGCTGCTGCTGAAGAGAGGGAGGCCGCAGCAGCAGCAGCAGCAGATGATGAAGAGCAGAGTTGAAAAGCTTCTTCTTGTTCTCAGCATGGAGGTGCGGTCTGCTTTAGAGCATAATGACCAAAAAAGCTTTCTAGTTGGTTCCTCTTTCTCCTTTACCAAAAGGCAGGGATTGTGAAGCTGTGATTTTTTTTTGTTGGTCTGTAAGAAAACTGAAAACCCCATTTGTCATCTGAGATTCAATTTTGTCAAGACTCTTGGTAGTCTTCTTTGCTTTAGTCTAGCTGTTCGTTTCTTTTCTAGGGTTTTTCAATCATATGTAAGCTGTTCTCTTCATATCAAAATCTTCCCATGTTTTTTGTCTACTCGAATGATATTGATGCTTCGACGTGTTCATTTCTAGTTCAACAGCCCTATGTGACACTAACCATTTGGGACGAAACTTTGTAGAACTAGAATTCTTACAAATTGCAATTTAATTAGTACCACTAATCGCTAGATATGATATCACAAGCAGTAATCATGTTCACTAATCATTAATAGGTGGGTTTAAGCTCATAACTACAAAATTGGTGGAAGTTCTCTCTTGCCTAGATTTTGAGGTGGAAAGGGCATACTAGTGAGCCACATTGCCCACTAATACAACACAAGAGTCTAAATCCTTTGGCATGAACTCATGGAAGAATTCTTGGTCTAGAATCTAATCCTACTTTCAACTTAATCAAGTAAACACAAGGGTCACATCTCTTAGGGCAAGTCGACCCCCTAATCAAGTAGTATCTATGCGAATTCCGAAGCTACTCTTCTAGAAGGGGAAAAAAAGATGCTCATCAACCCGTTGCTTGCTCTACACGAGCTTCCTCTTCCAAAACCAGTATCTTCTTGCAAGCCTCGTAGCACATGAATGATATACCAGCAGCAGGTACTAACTTCATGCAGCTAGGTCCCAACCCTCGATACAACCCTCCCAATCCTTCCTTCTCAAGGATTCCAGCTAAAGCGTGGAGCAGATTGCGATACTGACCTCCATTGAGCGCCCCAGCCTGCATCTGCTTCCTCGCCACCTCCAGAGGGAAAGTTGCAGTGCTTGAGATTGCACCAGCAGCCGACCCGATCAGAAGGGTCATCACATTTCCAATCTCCTCGGTCTTGAAAGCCTTCTTGTACGCTTTCCTTAATGTGTCGTAAGCAAAGTAATTGGCTGCTGCATATGGTGCTACCCCTATTAGGCTTGGAGTCAGACCTCTGTACAGCTCCCCGGGGCCTTCCTCTCGGACTATCTTTACGAAGGCGTCGAGCAAGTTGTCATATACTCCTCTCTGCATGTGGTCCGCAGTCAAAACAAATCCAGCTCAACTCTGTAAAACCGACACAAAGGGGCCGAGCTTTCGATTACTTAGGAGGATGAGTTTTTACCTGTACTGTGAGTCGGGTTTTGAGCAACTCAAGAGGGTAGGTGCAGAAGGTGGAAGTCATACCAGCTAGGCCACCGGCAATCGAGGATGCAGGAATTGGCAACATCGACTTCTCCCCAGGTTCAGGGGTCAAGTTCTTCAGAACAGTATCATAAGCAAATAACTGCAGAAGAATCCAAGAAAAGCAGTCAGTGTATTAAGTTATCAACTTGTCTTCGGATGCCAGTTTCTCTGTTTCCATAGGTTTAACATAAAAAGCCAATATGTTTATTTTGACTCAGTACATTTGCGACTAATGCAAAAGAAAAGAATTACTTATTTCAGTGATGATGATACGATGTCACAATACAGACAACCAAAAATACAGTTCCTAAAGGTTTGCCCTGAAGCTATGATGTTCATTCATTTGTTGGATAAACTTGGAGCTAAGTGGGGAAAAACCTGTGAACAAAGTTGAACCCCATCTAGTGGTCAAGAAACTTGGATAAGTGAGCAAATATATGACAAATCGACAAAGTAATACATTCTAAATCAATCACAATCATGAAAAAGAAAAGGAGTTTCAAATACCAGGACAGTTCACATATGCTCCAATCCTCTCATGGCACGAGGAAAATAAATCAATCGACTGAAATTTGGCTATTACAGTGACAGCCTCCCATCAGCATATGCTGCGACCACCTGATCGCCTCCCCGTGTTATCTCAATCGTTGATCGATGATGTGAAAATTTCCTAAACAATATCATCAATATCGATCAAATGACTGAGATAGCATGGGGGAGATCAGACGGTGTGAACCCATGCCAAGAAATTTCAACCATACTTCGTCCCAAACACCATTTTCCGATATGAACTTGTCATCCAAGAAGGGAAAATGTTCTGGAAGACCATATAACTTATAAGACTGCTCTGATACCAGGAAGAATGAAAAAAGGATCATTCTCATGAAGCAATTTCCACAAAAGCAATCAGATAACACTGAATAAGCAAATCAGCACCCCAAAGCAGTGAATCCAATCGATGTCAAAGCATACGAAACAATGGATGACACACAATTCTCTGGAAAAAAACGAACCTCAATAGCTTTGCTTGGAGCAACACGGATAACATTAACGAAATTGCCTCTGAACAAACCAGTCCACCCTTCAGACTTCATAATGTTATCAAACACTTCCAACGACGAATGCCCGCAGCTCCCCACCATCAAATGAGTCCTTATGGTCTCTAAAGGAGCAACAACAGTTCTCGAAATAGCACCAGCAATTCCACCACTGATCAGCCTCCGCAACGCCGGATTCCTCACCTTGATTCTCCACTTAAACCCACCCTTCTTGTTCTTCTTCGTGTTCTTGACCACCGTCTCCAGAACTTCTCCAAGCTGCAGCTCAGGGGGGATGCTGCTGCTCTCCACAGCCAGAGGTGGCTCAGCTATTGACACTAGCTTCAGCTGCATATTGGCCGCAGTAAGCATGGTGGCTGTGGAGGAATTCTCCAGCGAATTCGGCGAGGAAGAGACCCCGAATCCCTTCCCAACTTGATTAACACTGGCGAAGAAGACATTGCTGCTGCTACGAGCTTTCGGCTTTAGAGCATCAGTAGCCTCTTGAAGGAAAAGCTGCACCTTGACACCAGAGCTAGAGAAGGTCACCTCTTCATTATTTCGTCGAACAATTTGCACGCAACCCCTACCCATACCTAAATTCCTCTGCTACTCTCCCCACCTGATAATCAATACAAAAACAAAAATGGGTTCTCAGCACAAGTCCATGAAATGCCTGATGGACATCTGCAGATGGCAAAACACGGATGGTATAGCGTTACCTGAAGATGGGCTATATGGGTATTCTTCTCCTCCCGTTTCCTCTCTTCTTCTTCGTCCCTTCTCTACAATGAAAGTGGTGAGAGGAAGAGAGAAGAGAAGAAAAGGGGGGTTGGAGGATATGCTTCGAAGCAACTTCTGAATCTGTTCCTCTTTGTTTTTTTAAATGGAAGCTTTGAAAGCTTAGGCCTTTTTCTTTTGGGTTGCGTCAGGAAAGCCGCCGGCTTTGGAGGGAGTGGAAGGATGGCGGGCGGGCGGGGAGGAGGATGGACTGAGACGAGGATCGGGGAGGCAGTTTTTCGTTATTTAACCCTACCCGATAGCAGTGGGCCGCGGGTTTTTTTTTATTAGACTACTATATAGTGAAAGAATTCAGGGAAATCAGATAATCGGGAAAGAAGAAATAAAGATTCAGGTGGAAGGAGGATAATTAATCATTTAATCTCATTGCTTTGATAAATTCATGTGGCGTTAATGACATTTGTTGAAGCATAATCAGAAGAAGCTTAATCAATTCGATGTTCAAAACACCAAATACGATAACAGCGAAATTCTGGTGATTAATCTAGTACTCCAATTGTGCATCGCAACTCTTTTTTCCATTGCTGGACAACAAGCTGGGGAAAAACAAGAATGCTGCTTTCTTTGCCAATCACTTTTTGACACCTTATTGTGCCTCTGCTGATGCATGTTGTTACAAAAGATCTCCTTCTTTGATAGTGCCTTCTGTTCATTTTCAAGTGCTCTCCTCATACCACACAAACTTCAGATAGAACTGGAGCTCTCGCTTTGCTTGGTTAGCTTGCTGGCAGCTCATACCAAGAACAAGACAAATGCAACTTTCAACACTTTGAAGTGATGTGCACATAAGTCTGTGTACAAATTCCATCCATTGTGAGTGATGTAATGTAAACAAAGGATACACTAATACTTGGAGAGAGAGTAGAAGATAGAATTGGCCATATTATCAAATGTGATAGGAAATACAGAGACCTACAAATCCAAAACTTCATATGACAAAATTTGGGGGTTGATACTTGATAGTTACTATTCAGCCTTCCCTTTCTTCGAGCCACCACCATGGCTGCCGCCTTTTCTAGACTTCTGATATGGAGACTTCTTGTCACCTTTCATGGGTTTCCCATTTGGTTTCAACTTGCTGCTCGAGTCGAAGGATGATCTCCCTTTCTGATTCCTTCCATCTCTCTGCTTCTTCACATTGTACATGCTCACGGCCTACGAATTGAAAACCAACAGCTCGAGTCATTAAGTCTGATTTCTATTGTGTTCTGAGTGAAAGAGAAAGCTAATATTATTTACCTTGCCAACGTTGAGTATCTCGTGTGAATTTTTCGCCATTAGTTTGTTCAGAACTTTGTCAGTTTGTTCCTTCTCTCGGTTGCCCATCCCTGAACCTTCAGCTGCAGGTAGGAACTGAAGAGGAGAAAGGGGGGCATATTAGGGAAGGAAACGAAAGAAGCGAGGAGACAATAAAAGCATAAAAGGACTGCCATTGGAGAAAAACTAAGCTTCTTCAGAAAAAATAAACCTTGCGGTGTTTTCCTTGGTGTTTGACGGGCTTTTCACCAGCCACCTTCTTATCAAACTTTCCACCACTGGCTGTGGCGGTTGCAGCAAGCCCTGCAACACTTCCCAGTTCGTCTTTCGTAATTTTCTTTGGTGGTGCTTGTGTTCCTGTTATAGGTAATGCTGTGGCAGCTAGCTGAACGTGGCTGGAGCAAAAAGAGTTCACTTAAGTTCTAAAAGCACTAGTGTGAAAATTAAAAAGTTGAACAAACCAGAAACATTCCTCTGAATAAGAGTCATTCAGAAGGCAGACATAGAAAAAATTTACAACTAGAATCATATTAACCAGACAAGAGAATCAAGAAAGACAACTATAGCAGTAAAATGGACGGCATAGGGAAATTATTTCCTATGTGGTCACTCATGCCAAAAGAAATACCTTGGTAAGGCACCAATTTTGGCAGCTTGTTTCAAATTCTGCAAACGGTTCTTCTCAGTCTTTTCAACTCTTTTCTTCTTCTCTTCTTTCCTCTTGGCAAAAGGATCCCCTCCAGGTTCTGCAGAAGGGTAGAGTAAAAGAGAAAATACACTTCAGACATTACTGATGACCATCCTAAGGGGCTTGTGTTTTAGTATATGCTTCCCCAGAGTTCAGACTTCAGACTCAGCAGCCTCTTTAACACAAGATTATTCAAAATAAACCAAGACTAATTCAATTGAGATTTCCTTCCATGACTCCAAAACATCATTTACCATCAGTCATCTTGGCCTCGATAATAGGAACATCTGCGTCATCATTGACACGATCATATCCATAACTACGTTTCCAGCTGTCAGTTTGTTCATCCCACAAGACCTTGTTCTTTTTACGTTTCTGAATTCCTGCAAGACAACATCACATCAGCATAGATTTCATGTTAAAACAAGGTTTATAGTTCTCACAAGAAACTAGATAGACAGAACTTCATGACCATACAGCAAAAAGCTTTCATAATCCATTGTAAATTAAAAAGTAACAAGTTACCTTTCGATTTGGCAAACAACTCCCATTTTGTTGGAGGCTTAGGCCTTGGTAACTGCAAAAAATAAACAAACAACCTGTGAGTGCTACTCCAAAATCCCCTTAAGCCTTTGCAAACTTGAAGGTTAACGATGTATCTGCATCTACATTTCCACATGTATTCATGTTTCATCAATCACGCTTTAACATCATTAGACATTCAATCTTAAAGAAGAAGGCTGCAAGCCACCATCACTATCAAAATCACAACTTGGATGGATTAACCATTCAATCCCATTGCCAACTCAAAAAGCTAGCCAGCTTACATGTTTCTCCCTGGGCAGCCTGGTCGTCGGCTTAGGTAGCTTCACAAGCGGACCCTCCAGAGCTTCAGTCGAAGTCAAGTTGAAAAGACCATCAACAACCGCTTGAACTAATTTAGTTCCCTCACTCAAGCATTGTGTCACTAATTCCTCCCTAGCCTCAACAGCAAAATAACAAGCAAACAATCAGCCAAAAACCCATAACTTACAATATCCGCCGCACCCAATCCAATTGCATCAAAACCAGAATAAGTTCAAATTCGTTGCCACTGTAGCTAGTCGAAATAGGAAAAGGAAGTTACGAGACACTGACCTGGATTTAGGCGGAGAAGGGAAGTGGTGGTACGGGTCGAACGCCAGTAGATGGCCGAGGTCTACCTGCATCTGATTCTCGGCCTCCATCGGAGTCGGAACTTCCGTCGCAAAGTCGGCAAGCTGGACGACGCCTATGTGTTCTCTCCTCTGTTCTGTTACTTCACCTCCCTCTGCGCAAACCCTAAACCCTAGTCAAAGTTCGGGTCCGAAATCTGGTTTGAAGTAGACGATGAACGTTTATAATGAGATTTTCAAAACGCAAAGATATACTGTCGTGTAAGCAAACACGGCGCCGTTTCGATGCAGTCTCATTCTATGTGGACTGATATGGAATATGGGACGCAACGTCTTGGGCTCACAATCAGCCAGTTTTAAGATCGAGTCTTTACTTTGACAGCAATGGCCCATAGAAAGGCCCAACTAAGAGGCCCAATATTGTACGACTTGCCGTGCTGACGAATGATAGCACAGACAGAAAATCGGAGAGTTACACGATTCCACAGATCAATTTGTTCTCCACCTCTCCAATCTTCTTCTTTCTTCCCTCAAATCCCCCAAATGTTGAGATGAAACCCTAAATTATTCGATCTCAGAAAATAAACAGTCCGATATCAGTCTCTAAACTTCCAGTCCCGACTAATCCGTAAGTTCAACCCCTAAATTCTCACATTCCACTCCCAAATTTCTCCGATCGGGGTTTCCGTTTTCAGTTTCCATTTGTCACCTGCTTTTGACGTTCAGTCCCGATTGATGATTTTCTAAAGGTTTTTGGGTTGTGTGGATTGAATTCTTTGTTGTAGGTCCGACGAGCAATGGACGGGAACAAGGACGATGCCTTGAAGTGCCTGAGGATCGGCAAGGACGCGCTCGCATCGGGGGATAGAGCTCGCGCTGCGAAATTCTTCTCCAAAGCTGGCCGTCTCGATCCGAGTCTGCCCATCGACGATCTCATGTCAGAGACGGAGAAGGAGTCGTCATCGTCCGATCGGAACGCTGGGAGCGCTAATGGACCGACTAGTAAAGAATCCAAACTTCGACATCGGGCTGGGACGGCGGCGGGGTCTTCTACCGGCGCTGCTGGTGCGTCATCTTCTTCGTCCTCTGCGACGTACACTGAGGAGCAAGTTACGATGGTAAGGCAAATCAATAAGAAGAAGGATTATTATGAAATTTTGGGAGTGGAGAAGAGTTGTAGTGTGGAGGATGTTCGCAAGGCGTATAGGAAGTTGTCACTGAAAGTGCATCCTGATAAGAACCATGCACCGGGAGCTGAAGAAGCGTTTAAGGCAGTGTCCAAAGCGTTTCAGTGTCTGAGTAATGAAGAGAGTAGGAGGAAGTATGATGTGACGGGAAGTGAAGATCCTGTGGTTGAGAGACGGGCACCTAGGCGCCATGGTGGGGGAGGTGTCTATAATGGTTATTATGAAGATTTTGATGCTGACGAGATTTTCAGGCAGTTTTTCTATGGAGGAATGTCTCCTGCCACTACCCAGTTCAGGACTTTCAACTTTGGTGGTGGGATGGGTCCTAGAACTGGTGGTGAGAATGGATCTGGATTCAATGTCCGTGCGTTGATTCAGCTGCTTCCTGTTCTTGTGATTTTGCTGTTGAACTTCCTGCCTTCGTCGGATCCAGTCTACTCTCTCTCCCGGTCGTATCCTTATGAGCATAGGTACACCACTGAGAGAGGGGTCAACTTTTATGTCAAGAGTAGTACCAGGTTTGAGCAGGATTATCCAGTTGATAGTCAGAACAGGGTAAGGCTGGAAGCAAATGTGGAGAGAGAATATGTATCTCTCCTTTCCCAGAACTGTAGATTCGAGTTACAAAGAATGCAGTGGGGTTTTGTGAGGGAGACTCCTCACTGTGAAATGTTGAAGCAGTATCAGTCTGGGGCATCAACGGCTGCTTGATTCCAATTAGAACCGAGGTGGAGTTCTGTGATCTTAATACTTCCAATTTACATAGTCATTATAGTTTTTGTCATGACGAACCGTGCGTATGATGTACTATTGTTGTCTTTCTTGACTCGAATAATTTGCTTGTTCCAAAGTTTTCACTGCTCTCTATTATATCAGAAGCATACAACCCTGTGAATTAGTTCATATAGTACAATCTGGTTGCCTCTGACGAGCTGATATACATGTATTTTACCATGATCACACGGCACAGTAGTCGGACTGGTTTAGTAGCTCTTTATTCTATAAATATTACTCTAGTTTATTGTATCTAGGTTGGTTCCTTCAGTCATGCACTGAGGACGTCCCCTGTAATAGGATTATGGATCTTTGTGGAACCTTTTTTTGAACCCGTTCTTGAACGCCATCAGCCTCGCCCTATGTATGATTTTAGAATATTGCAGAGCATTTCATCTTCTTCACTTTTGCAGATGCATATTTGGGAGTGTTTGGTGAACCTTGTACTACAAGATGAGCAAAGCTTTTGGTATCTGGCTATAGAGGAGCATGTTAGGATTAATATCGAGTTCTAGTCTCTGTTACTCGGTGAACATATCTTCTTGTCTTGTCTATGTCAAGTAGAGGGTTTCTTTGTAGCTAGAGTTCCATATTTAAGTAACTGGTTGTGATACGTCCTCGGCAGCCGCGGCATCGAGATTACACCTTTCTTCTTACGCTCCAGGATCCAATCTGCACCATTCGCTTCATTTGTATAGTAATCTATTTCTGCAGTTATTTTACGTCAGGTCAGAAACTATTGGAATGCTAGAGCCTATGAACAACTTAATAAGCTTGTTTACTTCCAAACCGTGCTGGGTTTGGGTATTAATCCTGCTGTTTACTGTTCTATTCTGCTCCTAAGTTTATCATTAGTCCTAACGTCCGGCAGCATTATTTCGTGGTGTTGATGTGTAGTGAGCATGGTGTCTACTAGTGACCATTTTTCTAAAGTTCTAGGGATTGCAGCGTAGCTAGTCTAGTTATGGTCCAATTTTATTCCATTTAACCTTTCTGGATTTTTTTTTTTTGGTAGAACCTTTCTGGAAATTCAAATCCGAACCTTCGACCCATAATCAGCCATAGGAAATATTTGCGCCCATTGCCCGATAAGAATCTGCATCACAATGAACTATTAGCCATTGATAACTATGGTGTGATGTATAGTGTGGTTGTTGGTTGTCTTGCGATAGAAACTTGCATTTCTCTGTTCTTTTGAATATTGGACTTATTTGTTAGTTATTATTGGGTGGAATTCGATTGGGCATTTGGGTAATAATTTGGGGGTTTAATAAGTTGGGGCAGCTATACGAAATTGTGGGTTTACTATTTAAACTATGTTGTTGCGTGGGTATGAGAGTTAAGCAAGATTAAACCTAAACTACTTTTCCTAATCCTCTCCCTCTTTATTCCCTCTGCCGCATCCTCCACTTCCCTCAATTCCCATCTCTCTTCCCATCTCATTTCTCAAAATGGATCAATCACTAGTTGATCCTCGTTGATTTTAGTCCCTAGATAGAACCCAGAACGCAGGGGTTCTATCATCTTGTCTCTCAAATATTTTCTTAGTAATTTTTTATTTTTGACATACAAGTTATATTTCATTCGATTGTGATACAAGCCAAGAACATTACAACAAAGGAGCAATCAAGTCAAGGTTCAGGATCCAATCTTGAGGAAGGGTTCCTTTCTCAACCTCTTTGGCAACCCAGTCTGCACTTTTGTTACAATTTCAAGGGGTAAAAGCAACCCGAATTTGGTCGTTCATTGATAGGATATGTCGTATTGCAATGAATCCAAGCTCTCGCATGCCATGGCCACGTTTTAGAATAGCCGTTGGCAGCATTAACCAGAACTTGACAATCCGAGAGAAAAAAACTAGTCAGTAGCTTTATTTTCATCGTACTAGTCACATGTAGTGACTGTATTTATAGTCATGAGAATGATAATTGTTCTTCACTGTTTCGAACTATTGATAATGATGGTTGAGATTAGTCACCTGTTGCGTTTCTATAGTGAATGGCTCTTTTTTCACCCATGGGAATGACATTTGGTCCAATCGCTAGTCGTTAACTACTTCGTACTGCCATCCACAACGGTTGAGATTACTCACCAGTGGTCGAGGGGCATATAAGATATGATTGATTCAAGGTATAAGTCGTATGATACAATGTCTCAACCAACTGGCACTGCTTAGTTTGATAGGTTTACTTGGGTTTCCAATGGCTTTGGAGTGAAAGCTCTGCCGGAAGTTAATTAGAGTGGCTTGCAAAACTAATTAACTGGCACAAAATTGTGCAGGTACTCTTTATGAATCATGATTCATGCTTATACTTGACTAATTATGATCGAAAGGAATAATTCACTTCAATCAAAATTATATAAAAATGTTAAAAGGATACAACTACAATTCTAACTAACTAACTAAGCTTTTTTTTATACAAAAAATGATTGATTATTCTCTTTCCTCCTCTTCCTCTTCACAATTTGGATGATACAAACAAAGGCTCAGACAACCTATATATTATGTGGAACCCTGCTTCACAATCCTATGAGAGCTTATCAACTCAACAGAACAATACTTTGAACTATGAATTGTAGAGATTTCTTGTTCAACAAGCCAAAGGCCTCCATTTCATATGTTTCCTCAATGAATATTCCCTTTAAGAAATTGCTTGGCTTACGCAAGCTCGTTATCTCTCCAATAGGGACTCATAAACTCTATAAATGGGGCACCAGACCCTTTCCAAACCATATCATTTTCCAAGCCTAAGAACTTGGAAGAGATGAAACCTCACTTTCGACACTTCGCTTTGAAATTCTTCAAAGAAATAGAGAAGCCTCCTAGAGTATTGTTGTGTTGAGAATAAATGTCCCGAGCTCTCTCACGTTGATGAGAAGTAGCTCCTCCATCTCCCCCCCGTAAAGGCAGGTTTGTCTTAACTATCCTCGACTTTTTTGAGGAATGAAGCCATTGAGCTTCATCTTTCCAAGAATTCATCCGCAAGATAGGTAAATTTCACACCTCGACAATGCTAAAACGAATTGAGAGCCGCATACCTAGACAACAGGTTCACAAAAATATAAATCCTCCTCAAAGTCCTCTCACGAGGCATCAAACCTTGTTTGGAGGCGGGAAGGAACTCCATGTCATGTCATCTAGTCAAATCCTCTTTGGAGGCAGGGTGAATCCCTCATCGGTCACCAAATTTTTGATTAAAAGGTGTGTGTGAACTTCCATAATCTTTACTAAGTCCTCTCTAGCGATTGTCAACTTTGATGGAGTAAGTGGGGAAAAAAATATCCTCCCATGAGGTAGGGAGAAGCCCTTCACAACTCTATCAAAAGCTATACCATTAAGAAATTCATCAAAAATAATCATATTATGAAAATCTCTAAAGAAAGTGCGGCGGATTCTCTAAAATTCACAACTCTCCACCCTTGTCACTAGATAAAATACAATGCTAGTTCCCTCCATCCTTTCAACTAGGTACTCATTTGGGCGTTAGGGGATCCCCTAGAGTATGGACCCCTAACATGACCTTTTCTTGGAGGCGCCTGTTATTAGAGTGTAAAAGGTAGAGGACGAGCGGTCGTTAGAAGTTGTGTTAAGTCTAATGGTTCGTTCTATTATTGTTCGACTAGAAATGTAGGCCATCCTCCCTCAAGAGTTGAGTTTGTTTAGTAGAATTCACAATCTTTAGCAGCCAAGTTACAGGAGATCAGGGGAACCCCTTAAGTACATGACTTGGAGAGTCCCCTAATATGGATTGAGAACCGAGCAACAAGCTCTCGAATTTGCAAATTGATCACAACACAAAGAAAAAACGTGGCACTTAAAGGGTAAACCTGTATGCCAAAGAATCCAAAATTTTTGTCACTCTATATCCCTGCACTCCGGTACACAAATAAAATGTATGAATGAGTAGATCATCCACAAAATAGGTAATACGTAGTTTCACATCAATGGTGATAGTGCAACTTGCTAATTTCAGCAATTTTATACAGAAAGCCCATATATGACATCTATGAGGCCATAACCAGGTGAATTTGTGAAATTTATGGTAGTGATTATGGATCATTACGCTTGAGCCCTTATCGATAATTTTTGTTTTACCACAAATCTTCGTACAATGAGCACCTAAACATAGCAAAAGTTGCACACAACCTCACCAAATCCAAAACAACCCAAATAGTCGCCAAAAAAAAAAAGTAAATAACAAGCAACAACCCACAAGATAACCACAATGTTTAATGAGCTCTATTGTGATAGCATCTTTTAGAAGTCACAACCACCTTCTCTTTATCAGGTTATCTTTACTAGTTAGCCATTTAACCCTAATAAGATCTAATAAGTCGAAAACGTAGACAAAAAACAAAAAAGTACAGTGACCTTTCCCACTATTCCCCTAAACATTAAGCTGCGAACGGTAAAAAATTCTGAAACCCTGATTGCTCAATCGCTGAAAAAAGAAGAACACAATTCGCCTAACCCGGAGTCGCCTATATATTTGATAGCTTTCTGCGAAACACAAATCCTAAACCCTCCCGAATACCAGCCTGAAAAACCCTAGTTGGCTAGTTCCATTCGTCGAGCTCCCTGCGATTCATAAGGAAATGGTACGTCCTTCCTCCCTTCTTCTCCTTCACACGATTGCTTGTCATAGTTCTTTTTCGGCTTTAGGGTTTCGACGGTTGCTGATTCGTGTTTGTCGGTTGTTGTGGTTGTTGAATGCTTATTCGCAGACTGGGGAAGCAGTGAATCCGAAAGCCTACCCGCTGGCTGATGCTCAGCTTTCCATCACTATTCTCGACCTGGTTCAGCAAGCTGCTAATTACAAGCAGCTCAAGAAGGGAGCAAATGAAGGTATTGGTTGCTACTACTTGTCATTAAGTGGGAACTTTTTCAAGCTTGATTTGTGGTTTAGGGTTTAGCTAAGAGCTGGGTTTTCGTTTTGGTTCAGCTACCAAGACACTGAATAGGGGTATCTCTGAGTTTGTTGTCATGGCTGCGGATACCGAGCCCCTTGAGATTCTTCTGCACCTTCCGTTGCTTGCTGAGGATAAGGTAGCTACTCTCTCTGTTTGATGCTTTCTTTCAGCGTGTGAATGAGTTGTTTGATTAGGTGCTTCAGCTTGGATTTTGTCTAATGTGGTTCAACCAACTTGTGTGATGTTCTGCTTGGTCTTTTAGCTGGTAGTTTATTAAGCTTGCATAGTATGCCTATGTAAGGTTTTGGAATTGATATGAGCAGGCTCTTCGGTTCGGGATTTGGAATAGTTATTTGGAGAAGATGGAAGTGTGGTTGGTTTTAATGACTAAAGTGGCTTTTAATCTGGGACCCTATTCCTATTTTTTCTTGTTCTGCTACTGCCCCTTTAGTGCGGATTCTTTTACTTATAGATGGTACAATATCCCATCGGGTTATGGCATTCTATCAAACAAAAGAGTATGCAAAAATCCCCATTTGTAAGATTTGCCAGTGCATCTTTGTAAATTGTAATTCTACTTGAGGTTGCAAACGGTCAGAAATCTGGAGGAGCTGAACTATATCTCTGGTTGTGCAGTTCTTTTATAACACCAGCTTTCATATACATCCACATTTTATTAGCTTTCCATGTGACCAAGTCAAAAGTGTTCAAATGCAAGCATGAAACTTATTACATCCACTGTATGTTTGTGTTTGTTCAGAATGTCCCGTATGTGTTTGTTCCTTCAAAGCAAGCACTTGGGAGAGCCTGCGGTGTCACGAGACCAGTCATTGCTTGTTCCGTGACAACCAACGAAGGAAGCCAACTGAAATCCCAGATACAGCAGCTCAAGGTATTTGGTGTCTCCACCACAAGTGTTTACTTTACTCATTGAAGATGCATGGGACATGAATACAGTGTTCTAATTTGATATTCCTTTCTTTGTGAAATGCAGGATGCCATTGAGAAGCTGTTGATCTAAGGGAAAGCAACTTCTCATAGATATCGGTGTGATGGGCCTCTTGGATCATTTATTTGGTCTCTCCGTGGAGTGAGGCTTTGACTGGATGAAGTTGTGGCACTAGGGGGGGATCACAAAAGCATGTTTTGTTGTTTGACTTTTCTTATCCTCTTTGTGTTATTTAAAAGTGAGCAAAGTACATTGATATGTATTCCCCAGAACTTAAGTGGAACTGCTTTGTATGCTAAAGAGTGAGCTGTTGTCTGCGCTACTTTAATATTATGATGATGAAATTTTGAGTTTTGGTTATGATCCTTGCAATCTGAATCCGCAGCTTTAATCTCCTCTGAATTTGCTCTGCTTTTGAAAGTTTGTAGTTCTTTTTTCCTGATTGTTTAGTAGGTTCGTGTGTTGTGGATTATAGAGGGGATCCCAATGGAACTATGAAGGTTTCTAACCTCGGACAGTCGGTCCCTAAAAAATACTGGGTATGTGATGGATGTAAGGGTATGTATTAGATGTTGTATTATGTTCAATGTGGGACAAAGTTGGAGTGTATCAATTCGTATATGTTTTGGAGATGAAAATGCATGTTGTATCAAGTATAAACTAGCGGTAAATGCAACATTCAACATTACTAAATCGTGTACATTACTAAATCGTGTGACATGTTTAGTCACTAGAAAATTTTAATATCAATTTTGGTCACTCGAATTACTGAAACAGGTAACATTTAGTCACTCTCCTGTTAGTCTCCGTCCAACTCTAGTCACTCGAATTATTGAAACAGGTCACATTTAATCACTCTCCTGTTAGCCTCCGTCCAACTCCAGTCACTCGAATTACTAAAACCTGTCACATTTAGTCACTCGAATTACTGTAACAGGTCACATTTAGTCACTCTCCCATTAGTTTCTGTCCAACTCCATAACTTGGCTATATAGATAGTGCAATCGTGTAAGTATATAAAATCTTTTGCCCATTACAATTATGAAATGCATTAAAATAATACCCTAACCAAAACCCAAACAAATTTGGAAGCTAGTTTATAAGGGTAAATGCCACATTTGGTCACTGAAATTACTAAATTGTGTCATATTAAGCTACTAAAAAATTTTAATATCAATTTTGGTCACTTGAATTACTGTAACAGGTCACATTAGTAATTTCAGTGACCAAATGTGGCATTTACCCTTATAAACTAGCTTCCAAATTTGTTTGGGTTTTGGTTAGGGTATTATTTTAATGCATTTCATAATTGTAATGGGCAAAAGATTTTATATACTTACACGATTGCACTATCTATATAGCCAAGTTTGATAAATTACATTTGCATGTGGTGCACTATCTATTTACTCTCTTCTCATCTTGATTGGTGCATCAATGTAGATGTACTAGGAGAGAAAGCAATGTACCTTGGGAAATATTACAATATGAATAATTACCTGTAACATTATAAACAAAACAAGTGGTCGTGCCGGAGTGGTTATCGGGCATGACTAGAAATCATGTGGGCTTTGCCCGCGCAGGTTCGAATCCTGCCGACCACGTTATTTTTTTCCCATTTCATAATGAAATACTCGTTTCCAATTTCTGCGTTTTTCCTTGAAACCTCAAGCATATCAGCATTGATTCTATGAAGCCCTTTTAAGCTGCTGCAGATTCCAATCAAATTGATAGAAACTACGACTATTTAGTATATAAACAACGATCTACAAAAAAATTCCACAGCAATGGAACTACCAAAAAACATGTCACCAAATACAACCCACAGACTCCAACATCACACCACTCTCATACCACTCCACCTCCCTCTCCCTCAAGAACTTCATCTCCAACCCCACAAACTCCGCCAACCCATGAATCTCCTCCGCCATTGGATGCGTCATATCCCCTGACGAGAATCCGTGCAAAGCCAACGAACCATCGGCAGCATGATCGACGTCAACCCAACTGAACCCGATCTTCTTCAGGACGCCCTCTTCCCTCATTGCTCTCTTGAACCTCGACGCCTTCTCCCACTGCCCCTTCTCGGCATACAAGTTAGCCATCAGGACATAAGTCCCTGAGTCCTTCTGCTCCATCTCCAATAATCCCTCCGCTGCCTTCTCCCCCAACTCCACATTCCCATATGTCCTGCAAGAACCGAGCAAGCTTTGGAGCACTGATAAACCCGGTCCACCTGGGATCCGGTTCACCATCTCCTCCGCTTCCTCGAGCCTCCCTGCTCGCCCCAACATGTCCACCATGCAGGAATAATGCTCAGGCGAGGGTTCGATTCTGTAGTCTTGGACCATCGAGTCAAACAGTTTCCGACCTGTATCGATCATTCCCTTTCTCCCACAAGTTGTCAGGACGGAGAGGAATGTGATCGAGTCGGGTTCTACCTGTTCGGCCAGCATTTGGTTGAACCAGGTCATGACTGATTGGTAGTCGCCGTGCCTTGAATAGGCTGAGATCATTGACGTCCATGAGACTTGTGTCCTCTGAGGCGCCTCGGAGAAGACTCGTTCGGATTCAAACATGCTTCCTCGCTTTGCGTACATGTCGAGGAGAGCTGAAGAGACGACTGGGTCGGTGTTGAGCCCGAGTTTTATTATCTGAGAGTGGCATCTTTTGCCGTGTCTTAGAGAGACATCTTCAGCTGCGCCTATTGCGCTCAAGACACTGCCGAAAGTGTACTGGTTTGGCTTCACTTCTGTGACTGCTGATAAGAATGTCTGGATTGCAGCTTGACTCAAGCCATTCTGTGCATACCCCGAGATTAAGGCGTTCCATGTAATGATCTCCCTGTGATCAAGCTCATCGAAAGCTCTCTTCGACTCATCCGTGGACTTGAACTTGGCATACATTGTGATGAGGCTGTTACACACGTTTGGTTCCAGTGAGAAGCCTAATTTCAGACAAGCCCCGTGAATCTTCTTGCCTTGTTCAACCAAATCATGAACTGTTACAGCATGGAGAAGACCAACAAACGTCACATGATTAGGCGGGACGTTATCTAATCTCATCTCATCAAAGAGTGACACAGCGGCTTCTTCATTTATTGATATCATTGTAGTCCATGACACAACATTGCGCTCGTTCATATTTCGGAACACCAACACAGCTTCTTCCACTCGATCACACTTGGAATATGTTGAGATCAGGACATTGCCGACAGAGACATGTTTCCCATATCCTCTTTTCAAGCTAAACCCATGAATCTGTCTCCCGAGTTCCAAGTTCTTCTCATGACCACAAGCCGAAACTGTTCCAGTAAGTAAGACATGATCAGGGTCGATGCCTCTCCTAATAGTTTCAATGAACATAGATATTGCTTCCAACCCTTGAATGCCTCCCTGACTATACCCCGAGATGATTGCATTCCACGAAACCAGATCTTTACTCGGCATCTCATCGAACATTCTCCTGGCCTCCGACAGACGTTCCCATCTACAATACATAGATATGAGAGCATTTCCAACAAAAGTTTCGCAATCTAGTCCCGACTTCACTATAGATGAATGTAACTGCAATCCGAAATGAAATTCCTCGTTTCTTGAACAGAAGGAAAGAGCAGTGGTATAAGTCACAGGGTCAAAGACAACCCCATTGGAATTCATCCTACAAGCGAAACACAGAGCGTCCTCACTCCTCCTGAAACCAGACAGCACCGTGTTCCACGAAACAGTATCAGGATCAGCCAACCTCTCAAATATACAAAGGGATTTGGAAAAGTCTCCAGCTTTACAGTACAAGTTCATCAAGGAATTCGCCACGGTGATGCACGGCCACAACCCGGAAGTAACAGAGATGCCATGGATTTGAGAGCCCCAGAACGGGTCCCCGTTGCAGGCTTTAAGCGAGAGAGTGATGGTGACCTCATTGATAGTGCCCCTACGTCCCAGCTGAAAGTGACTCCTGAAGATCTGAAGCGCTTCAGATGAGGCCTTTCTTTGAAGGGATTCGACCATGGAGCGGTTGACGTCGGCCCAGGCTCGGTGGGGACTTTTGTCGAACAGTTGGTGTGCATTGTTCAGTGGTTGAGGGTTTACCACGGCGGTTGACCGTTGCTCGGCTATTAGTTGGATTGCTTTGAGAGTGGGTTGGCGGGCAATCATTTCAAGCCTGAAGGCCTCATGGAGAACTACACAGGAAATGAAAGGGGGAATTTTGGTTTTAGGGATTGGAATCAGCAAACCTAAAAGAAAAAGAATTAGCAGAATAAATGTTCTATTGGGCCAATGGGGGGTTTTGGGCCGGTCTAGTCTCAAGCCCAATAGCATTAGCAATGCACAGAAAATTCTTTTTTAGTTTTAAGTTTTAACAAACCAGATTTCGGTCTCCTTCTCCGGTAGCCATGGCTTTGGATCTAGAGTTAAGGTTAAGTATTTTTCCTTGCGCGACCAGAAAACGAAGGCCGGTCGATGGTTCAGAAGAAGCGAACCTTTCTCCTCCGATCAGCAATCTCGGGGACGATCTCCTAGCAGAAGTTCTGATTCGCGTCCCGGAACCTGGATCCGCCTGGCGATGCAAAGCAGTCTGCAAGCGATGGAAGTCTCTGATCTCCGATCCTCAATTCGTTCGCCGTTTCGTTTCCCACCACGAGAGCATCTGGAGCGTCGACGAACCTCCTCTGATGGCCATAGACAGTGGGGAAGCCATCTTGAGCTTCCTCCCCGTGCCCGATGAATTAGCTGATCGATGGTACTTCCGAATTTTCGATTCCTTCAAGGACTTGGTTTTGTGCGGGTTTCAGGAGACGCCCAGAATCCACTCCGAATTTTCCAGGTCTCTCTTCGTCTGCAATCCGTTCACGAAGCAGTGGGTCGCCCTTCCTTTGGCGCCTGAAATCGCGTCCTCGTCTAAGATTGGATCTTTTGTTGCAAGGTTAGTCTGTGAACCCCTTACCTGTAGCTCAAATGTTGAACTTGATCTAGGAGAAGGTCGACCACCATTTGTTTATTGCTCTGCTTATCGGTTCCGGGTGTTGTGTATTTATCAAATGATGAAGAGTACTAGAGTAGACGTGTTTTGTTCGGAGTCTGGAGAGTGGACGAAGGAGGCTCTTGTTCTTGATGAGCATTATATACTTTTGGCTTGCAATGGAATTTCTTCATTGTGCAACAGCGGGTTGCTTTGGTTGTGTTTGGATGCCGAAAATCGTGGTTCTATTCCATATATAATTGCTGGGTTTAATCCTTTCGGTCTCGATATACCTCCCACCTGTATCAATGCTTCTTCACTCGTAGTGTCACGCTGCAAGTGGAATATTTCGGTCTCACAAGGTGCTTTGCACCTAATTGTTCTTGAAGCTGAAGCTCCACCTGCACCTTTGAGTATTTGGAGACTGGAAGAACATGGCAAGTCTTGGAGTATACAGTACAAAACCTTGTTGGGGAGGACATCAGGAAGGTGCAACTATGAACTTAAGGAATGTAGTGTAGTTGGTCTGCATCCAGAGAAGCCACATATTGTCTTCTTAAGACACGAGGATCTTGGTGGTCCTTGGGATGATGTTGTGCTGTCCTACGATAGCAGGACAGAAGAGCTAAGGTACTTCGCTGAATTTCTGGGGAATTGGGCTGTGTTCCACCCTAGCGTCTCTTGCTGGCCTACTCCAATTCCCAGATATGAGAAGTTGAGAGTTATTTATGATGGAAGTTACAAGTGTTGGGTTCAACAGAGCAGCAGCAAAGCTACGCCTCCGCTCCCTAATAATTGGTAATAACTCCTTATGCTTCTATGAATCGTTACTTTCTTTTCTGCGTTTGTTTGCATCTCTATTAACATATTAAGTAGCATATATATACATACATACATGTCTCTGTTTCCATTCTAATCACTTGAGAAGTTTGCAATGCTACTACACTCTAGCTCGTAATCTGAACTTTATTATTAATAAAATAAGGCGCAGAGACCTTTGCCTGTATGTCTGCTCTTTCTTTTTCTCTTAATATCTTGTTTTCTTTCCTATTCCCATTCATGTTGTGGCTGGTTTAATTGCTGGACCAAAAGTGGAATGCCAGCCAGTTGAGGGAATTTAACTATTCGATCATCCGAGGATGACAGGTCAGCATCACATCCTCAGGGCATCGTCTTAAGAAGCAGATGGTGATGGAAGACTAGCTCGTGTCTACCCTGTATTATTTACCTAGCTTGTATGAATTGTAAGAGGATTTGCGTGGTTAGACATATTTGGGCCATTTCAGCAGGGGTCTCTCTGGTAGTGCGTGGATTATTGCTTAATGGTTGAAGAGAAGGAGTTTCTGGTCACATAGAAGCAAAGCATAGTCTTGGATCTGGCGATCTGGCAAAAGCTACTCCAACGTCGCCCTCTTGTTCAATCCCAGTGCATCCTAATTGTGGCCTATGATCCTAGATTGTATTTTGATTAATGGTTCTTTTATCTTCTCAGACTGCACGTAGCGGGCTCCAGGGTTCTTTGATTGTGCAATTTCTAAATCTATCTTCTCCGAACTTCTGGGGAAGCCTTTCATTGTCCAGCCTGTCAGATTGAGATGTGGAACTAGCTTGGGCTGTTGATGCATTCAAAGGAACAGATGAGAAGTCTAAATCGAGGGAGTCGTACGGGCATCGCTGACTAGCCATCTCTGGCGGGAAGGTGCAAACTAGTACTGGGATTGGTTCGCTCGCAAGAAGCTTGCTTTAGCCTTCAAGTAGTAATGGAGGAGGTTATAAGCCAGTGTTCGAGTAACCCTTAGATTAAGCTGTTATTAAAGTATACGCTTTTGTTCTTTGATCTGGGTGTTGCCGTGTTGGTTGTTTAGATGCCCTGTTTCTTTTGCTGCTAAATGATAAGGCCTATAAGAAGGAATGGATCAGCAGTGCATCAATCCGTATTTCAAAACGATTACATAAGGATATCTCTTGCAATCATTGTAAAGGTTTTCCGGACTAATGAGTTGGAGTTGTGTCACGAACTTCCTCTGAGGCTGTAATTGAGTGGTTGTGTTACAGATTTTCAGCCTGGAGTCCCAGGTTCGATTCTCAGGAACGATGCTCATTTTCCTTTTTCTGCACTCCTCTAGTCCCCAGGTCCAATTCTCAGGAACGATGCTTTTTTCCCCTTTCCCGCACTCCTTTAGTCCCTAGCTTCGATTCTCAGGGACGATTTTCGTTTTCCTTTCCTTCCGCTCCTCTAGTCCCCAGGTTCAATTCTCAGGGACGATGCTCGTTTTCCTTTCCCCCACTCCTCTAATAGCATACCTTATAAATAGGTATTTGTCAATACCTAACAAAATCACAAACTTGCTCTAGAGATTTTCAATACCGGAATTTCAAGAGATCATTCATCTTTGTGCTGCTCCACGCTAAAGTTTTTTAATTGTATGCCTGATATGCTACATCCCAATCATTTTTTTGACAAAAATATTGTCTGCTTTAGGTTTATCTCCTCGCGTTTTTTTGGTGCATCATAGTGACTTCCAGAGAGGTCATCCATTTATGCATTGCTAAACTCTAAGCACGATAACTAAAAAGGAACTCATTCATTTCACCCAATAAAGCTTTTTGTTGGTTCAGATTCGATTATTCTTTATGAACCATTGTTCTCTCTTTTGTTTTGCCAATGTGAGATTTATTTAAAGTGTTACAAAATACCAATTTCACTGGTAAACGTAAATTGAGTTGGAAACTCTTTTCCTGATATGGCGAAAGAAAATAGTTAACACAAAATATTAGTCAAACCTTAACAAAATACTTAACCAGACCTTTGAAAATACAAAACAACAACCAAACCTTTCATAACTGTGAAATTTTAGCAATTGATTTGCTATTATAAATACTAGGACGAGGTTCCCTCCATAGAGCACACCAAGATGGTCGATAAGGCGAATATATATGTTATCGTAGATAGCATGATCGAAGTGGATACACAAAATAGTTTTTTATGGGATCGAAATAGTTTTGAGATATACAAAATTTGAAAATAGAACATAAATCACTATTGTCTAATATTTTGTCTAAAACGGCTTTGCCCACTTGCTCTTCTGGGTATAGCCCGACGAGATTGTCAGGCAAAGCCCACTTGCTCTTCTGTGTCGGGCCGCACTTCAGCCCAATCAAGATGGGTTTTTTATGGGCATATAAAGACAACCAGAAGCCTGAATTCATTGTGTTCCTACTCCCAGTTCCTAGTCTCGAACAACAGTTTTCTCGCCAATTCATTCACTCTGCGCTCTGTTCCTTCGTCTCCTACCTTGGTGCTCTGCTAATCAACAGGTGCGAAGAGTTTGCTTCTTGATCTTGAAGTAATTTTAGAATTCGTCTGATTCTCCTCCTTCTAAGAATCTTATCTGTGCGATTTGGGGTTTTGTGTTCTTGATCTTGCAGTATTTTTAGAACTCGTATGATTTCCCTCCTTCTAGGAATATTATCTGTGCGATTTAGGGTTTTGTGTTCTCGATCTTGCAGAAATTTTAGAATTCGTCTGATTTTCATCCTTCTAGGAATCTTATCTGTGAGATTTAGGGTTTTGTGTTCTCTCTTGTCTTTTGGAACCCTGTGCCAAATCAGAAACTGTCACTGATCTCTATAGAACCTCAGTTTTCTGGCAAAGATTCGTGCTGAGCTCTTTTCCCATCATCTCCCGCCTTAGTACTCTGTTCTGTTCAGCAGGTGCGAAGTTTTTCCCTCCTCTGCTCCTTATCTGTGGGATATAGTTCTCTGCTCTTTTCCCCCTTTTGGGCCGAGTTTATGCTGAATTGTGTTGATTTTATCGATTTTGATTTGATAGGCATGGATCTTAATCAACTGTTGGGGGAAAAGGGAGGATCTAAAGCGATCCTACATACAGCTGCAAGAAGACCTTACTATTGCAGAAGGAGATGATCAGGCTACTGCTGCTGACTCCGAAGGAGATGATCAGGCTGGTGCAACTACCCTTACAACCACTGGACCATCTGGGTCACAAGCTGAAACCAGCATTGATATGAATTTAGAGGTAACGGAGTTCATTCTGTTTTGAGTTGGTGGTGTCAACTGGATTTGGTGATTTGAATGCGATGGCCTCTGCTTGTTTTCAGGCAGCACCTGAATCATCTTCGAGACCTGCCCTTGAGCCGAATACTCCAGCCTCTGCGCATACAAACGCTGGACCATCTGGGTCCCGAGCTGAAACCAACATTGATCTGAACTTAGAGGTAACCAAGTTAAATCTGTTTTTGGATATGGTGATTTGAATGCGATGAGAAGTGAAAGGCGAAAGAAGGGAAATGGTGAATTAAGGGAAAGAAATTAGTGTTTGGTTTTGAGTGACCAATCAATTATATCTCAGCTCTTTATTTTTCGAATTATCCTTCCTATCATTGAGAGATTAAATTATGACATCCATAATTTTATATATGAAGAAATACTCTTACTGAGGTGAGTATGAGTATCGATGTGAGACCCATCTCTATCAAACCTTTTATAAGTTATACCCATACCCAGTCAATATGAGATTTCCCACCGTATTAACTAGTTCGGATACCCAAGATGGTTGATTTGTTTGTGCCACCCCTAATTTTGACAATTAATGCTTTAGGATGGATGCCCAATAACAAAATATCAACTATTTATCATTGAAATAGAATGAAGGTTAAATTAGTGATAATGATAATGCATGATGGATTATGGATAATTAAATGGAATAATAATATATTCATGGAGTAGTGAAAGTATGTAGTAAGAAACTAAAAAGATGATGATCATAAAAATCTGGCAATGTTTCAAGGGATCAGCTCCTCTCCTCTCCTCTCATTGAACTTTATCAGCCCACTCAACACCGCCGTGATGTCATCGCTCTCACTGAATATCCACTGAAAGTGTACTCTCGTTGGTGCATCTTCGATCTCGCCATCTTTATCTTTTGCTGTTGAACTCCCCCCTCAGTAATATATCTATTGGGGTTCTCCAAATTCATACCCAACCTAATGTGGTTTTGGAGGAGAAAAAGTAACTCAATGGGTACCAAAGGATGCATGGTTATTGGGTAATGCATAAATTCATAAGCAAAACCACACATTAATGATTTCGAACACTTGTAAAATTTTCAAAAATTTGTCTACAAATACATTTCTATAAAAGACTAATAACATCCATAAATTATTCATATTATTTAGACTTTATTGTCATGAAGATTAACAACCTCTATAAATTATCCATATTATTAAGGTTAAGACACAAAATGACTTTATTTTGCTTTTCGGTTGCATTGCAGATCAGGTGGAAATCGGGTTGAGTTTTGACAAAGTCCAAACCCAATCCAACCCACCAATTTTATAAGTGAGCAAAATCCGCATCTGATCCAGAACCTTTTTACCCGCCTTTGACCAGGTTGGATCGTGTTGGATACCAATAGATTCAGTTGCAAGTGTCATCCCTAATGTCAGAGTCATCATCGAAATCGAACTTCCAAATCTGCTCCTCAGAAGAACAAGGAACGCATAATGCTTTACGCTTCTAGGCAACGTTTTTCTGCAACGGATCTAAGTGAGAATCGGGGTTGGAGTCATTATCAGTGTCGGGATTCTGACTTTTGAATCCCCTATGGAGAGGAAATGTGTTCTCTCCCTTGGAATAAGGAGTGATAGGATCTTCTTTCCCATGGGGCTTGGGAGTGTTTTTATGCAGCAGATCCCAGTGAGAATTTGGGTCGATGTCGTCATCGAACTTGATATCCAATATCTAAATCCTCTGTGAAGAGAAATTGTCTTCCTCTTTGTCAAATGAATGTACATGAAAAAACCTGAATACTAGATTTACTTACATTTCAACATAAATATTTGAAATTCCGAATCACGAACACTGTATCCAAATCCTCATATCCGACCACACCCTTAAGTATATCTTAATCACGAATGAATCATGGTTACTTTTAAAACAACACCACTACAGCATCGATAATCTTATAAATTCTTAAAGTTCCTTTGCTTGTGTTACATTGAAGCAAGCAAATCATGTATGTCTCGTATTTGTCGAACCATCCCCACTAGAACACCGATTATATAGTAATCAATCAAGTCTCCTTCATAAAATATAATCTATTATAATTAAGTCTCTACTTTGAGTGTGCCTCGCACTCGCAGACTTTTGCTGACCACTAATCATGATTATAGATTAATGAAATCTCATAGAAAAAAGATTAAAGAAATGAAAAGATCACTAATCATTATTTTCAATTTTCATGTTAAGTTCATGCAAAAAAGTGGGATTTGATGAGGGAATTTTGCTTTCACTTGGGAACTTTTGTTTGTCCTATTAACCAGGAGTGCAACTTAGACTTTACAGATGTAACATATGGAGGATTAATGGTCTAGTGGTACTATAGTTTGTTTTGAATTCTTGAGTGCATGGAGGCATATTCTTGAGATCCTTAGAAACAAGAAGAAGAACAAAATATCTTGATTAATATTATGCCCAACAACTGATTACCAGATGGAAAGAGATAGAGATCACAACACTAACTCTTTGTGCCCAACAAGTTGATAATCCTCAACTTTTATAATACATATATTTTTTCTAGTTTCTTGATTCACAGTTTAAATATTATACAACTTGAATAATAATATAGTTGTTTCTTTACGATACGGTATTTACTGTAGTACAAATTTGTTCTGGAATATCTCTTCAAAACTCACCGCACTTATGGAGTTAGGTGGATACTAATATACAAAGCAGTTTTTCTTTATTAATGTGATAGTTGATTTGCACCCCCAACACGTATAAACCTAGATAAGTTATCCAATGCCATTCTAAATCTTTGATCCCGCGATTCAAGTTTTCTTGATCATGAGGATCTTTTTTGTGATTTTTTGTATGCAATAATTCTCTCTTAAGAGCCATGAGGTTGGAGCAACTTGGTCGTTGGTCATGATTGTAATCAATGGATGTTTAAAAGCAAGAATATATGTGTTAAGAAATAAGACATGTTTTGATTGGGCAATTTCTATGGAGAACTAGACATAAGCTTTCGCATTTTATTAGTTGTGTTTAGAATTAACAATCATGTTAGTGGGGAAGATTATGATTGTACCAATTGTGCCCTAAAGCTGGTGACTAAGTACTAAATGTTTGGCAGAGATCCCAAAAAGATTGATGAGGGAAAAAGAATAATATCCCTTTGCCACTTGCTAATATGCAGATATTATGAGGAGCTAGATAGCCAAGATTGAGAGGTAGAGGTGACAAGACAAAACCATGCATTGCCCGATCCATGGGCTTTGTCTAACATACATTTAATTGCGTCTTATGATTGAACCGTGTTAGCTCGTACTTATATGATGTTCACTATTTACATGAAAAATATTAATAACGATAAATGTTTACTGAGTTATAACAAAATGCAATAAGCTAGCCACATCTTCCAATACTAACGCTACTGAATATTAAGTTTGCTCTCTAATCATTAGGATCGTCACTTGATTTACTAGTGAGTTCGGAACTGCCTTAGATCAATCACTCTCATGAATTTACCATGATCAAATTCGCAACCCTCATCAGTTGGTGTTCATGTATTATGTATAAATAAACATTAGGGTTTCTAGTGGTAATGCTTATGTCTCAGCTGTTTCGAGAAACTTGGTCATGGTGGAGTACTAATGTACCATGTTAATTGTTAAAAGCAATGGAGAATATATGATAAGGAAGGGCACATGATAATTGGGCAAAGATCGCCAATTTAGATGCATGTTGTTGCATTGTTAATCATATCATGTGATTAGTGTTGCAGATATGGATTCTGCCATAAAAGCAGATTTGATTTTTGGGTACTAAATAAACGTTTGGCAAAAGATCCTTAAAAACATTGATTAACGAAAAGGGATTGATGTCACTATGGTAGTACTAGTTCAGAACTTTATAAGCATATGAGTGTACTAGCTAGCTAACATGTAATCAGAGGATGAGGGAGAGTGCAATAAGGTGGTATCGGTAGTCGGCATCCATCTTGGTTTTGGAGAATTTTGAGAAAAAAATAATTATATTCAATAATTGATAAGTGTTAATTTATACATTTTTTTCAACAAATTTAAGCAAGTTTTTCAAATAAAATTACGTTCAATTGTAAAGAATATTGTAGTTTTTACGTATACGTTAGTATTTATAGATCTATTGGATGGGAAATTTGAGTCTAAATTTCATATATACATAATTTAGCTAAACTGACAGATGAGGAAATTGGTCGCAAAACCCGAAATATAAAAAGACAGGTGGTTGTGTGGTTTTCCAAATTCCACAAAGTGTGAGAATTTGTACCTCCAATTCCAATTGCCACATTATATTTGGGTTTTGGATCCAAATCTTTTATCTAAACGACTTATTAGTACTTTTGTGCACTACAAAACAAGTAGTTTGTGAACACATTACAATGTAAACATAAAAAAAAATTAACTAACATTTTTCATTGAACTACAACTATATATACTACATTAGAATTTCTATATAAATAAACCCTATGCATTCTCTCTGGACCTCAAATCGCCACTTGTACTGTTGTACATGTTCATCTTTTTCACAAATTAATCTTATTATCACAAATTCTTCCCCTTAAAACTTGATGCCGTTTTATCTTATAATAATTTTTCTAATAATGATCTCTCCTTCCTGCAATAAACTATGCAAATAACATCAATTGAAATTGAATGAGTAATGCAATCATAGATAATTTTTTCAGAATACATATAGTTGTGATATGACTGAAATCGTCTTTGATATTAATATTATATAGTTTGGAAATTATTGTACTTTAAGAAAAAAATTGGAATATAAAACTATACCATAAATAATAAAAACTGATAATAAAAACTACTTAGTTAGTAAATACTCTGTTTAATATATATGTATATGTATCCGTACGTATTTTATTCGTATTATTGTCAAGGTGTTTGATTTTTCACCATTCATTTGATGGCTCCCGTATACTGAACACGTATAAAACTCATATAACATGTTTAATATCCCCATTTAATGAATTAAATTGTTAACTTTACAATTATTTTTGTATTTATGTATTTTTAAAATAATTAATTTAATATATTTATGACTATTAGTGTACTATTAAATGTAATATTAGATTAATGATGAAGTAAAATACCCATACGTATTTTACATGTAACTTTTCTGTATCGTATTTTACTAACTATTATTACACATCT